CAAATTGTTCTACCAGTTGCGTGGTTGGAACAACGTGTATTCAAAGGTGGAACACGCATAAGATTCCCTTACTGTTTTGGTCCCATTTGAAGTTAAACTTAACATTAATCGACTTAATTGCCTTATTCCATGGATGTAGATGTCAAGAAAGCGGACGGAATTTCAGTTACTTATAATATATTTATTAGCAATCAGCTTACCGGGTCATAAAATGACTTTAATCCTTAGAAATGTAATTTGTTGAAACAGCTCTTTGTGAATGCTTGTTTACTGATAACATTTCATCTTGTTGGACAGCGTTGTTGGATAAATATATAATAAAAACCTAGTATTTCTTCTGTGCAGCATGTGCATTAGGTTAGTTTAAACATGCAGCCTTGAAGCAAAACTGCATTTTTTCGCTTTTGCTCTAGAAAAGTCCATCGTTTTGATAAAAAATGGATGTAATTGGAAGCAGAATTAAGATTACAGCAGAGAGTTATTGAAAGGAATTACTCAGTAAGAATAACCGTAGCTGAATCATACAATCCACGGTAATTTTGAAATACATGTGGCAAGTGATTAAGTACAAATGCGCAAGGAAAATTTGCAAAACCCCTGCGGTACTGTGTTGCTTATTTTCATGTGTTAAGTTGCTGCATTTTTCATTTATTGTTTATTCTTGAACAACCTTTTAAATAGATGCTTTTTCCTATTCACTTCGACTGCTTAGGTTTATGTGTCTCTAAATATCCCTTTCGGACCATAAAGCAGTTAGCCGCTTTTTGAAGCGTAGGTATCACCAATTGAAACAAGATTTTGTTATCGGCACCAACGTTTTTCGGACCATAGTTCATAGAAGGCTTCTGTTTCGCATTTAATTCAAAAGTGAACGGAGATTTCCATAAGTTTATTTGTTACATGAAACACATCATGAAAAAATTGTGGACATATGACGATAGAAGCGGCTACTACTTGGTTTGTCATATTTGTATTGAACATACATGTGTCTACTTGTTTTTGATAACACTTATGCTTCCCCCCAGCTCCTCCAATCTTGTAATCATCAAATATATAGCTACACTGAAGGTAGAATAAATACTTATTTATATTAGTGTAGACGCCTTAATAAAAACAATTTAGGAAATCTGTTATTCTACCCAGATAACACAGTGGTGTATGGGCACTGTAAGACGTTTAACTTCAATGAGGTGAAAATTTCAGTTTTATTACCTTGCCAGTTGGATATAAAAATGGAACATCACAAAACCTCCATACCTAGTCTTTTTTCAGTCAGGCTGTATTTCCATTAGACATTTTATGGGCAAGCACGAATAACTTTAATAATACAATGAGAAGTGTATGATAGCAGTACCTTTCTTTGTTACGCAAGCTAACCCATTGTGTGTTGCTGGAGGTGTGTAAAGGAAAGCCAAACATTAGACAGTCCCTTCTGCATCATAAGAAAATAAAAGCTTAAGTGTCTAAGTTTTCAAAAACTTTTCTCATTAATGGACGCAGTTCGTGTCTAGATATTCTTATTTAGGGTCAGGATATTTGTCTGGATCAAATAGACCATTTTCACCTACATTTGTGTGCTCTCCAATCTAATAGAACTCAACAAATTTTGTTTACAAGTGAAGCTTGGTATTTAGCAATCTTCAGATGCTGAGGTATCGTACAGAAACAATCAAATACCCAATATAACCATCGGATAACTATTTTGCGATGAACACCGCTGATTTTTGACCATTTCCCGTTGCGTTTGGTATTTTGAGCTAGTAGGACAAAAACAAATAGTCTTTTTCTCTGAAGCTGGAGCCTAATTATATTTATATGAGATTGAAGACATAATGATACGTAACAAAGAAATCCATGTCTATAATGGAGTCGCTTTTCAATGGAATTTAAAATACTCTTGCTTATATATGCATTCCCTTGGTGCAGCTTAAACTAAAGGTAAAACAGTAGCAATCTCCAACAACTGGAACATTTATTACATTTCAGACGACGAAAAAGAGAAACGTGATATTTTCTGCTCGTCAAGTGCACAACAAATGATAAAGTTCAGCCAACGCTGCCTATGGATTATTGGCAGATATGTATAGTGCTTACCTTTACACAGCTTGTTTTGTGAATCGGATAGTTTTGACTCAAAAGGCAAGTTTACCTAGCATACGTGCAAATACACTAAAATAAGATGAAATAATGATAAACCAATCGAAGCCAAAAACCACATTGCTTCCAAGGTCAGATGGAAAACACTGTAGCATTTCCCGCGAAGTTGCATAAAAGGTCCAAAACGTTAAAGTTCGCTTAGTCAATACAAATGAAGAACTTACCATCGCTCTCAAATTGCAGAAACTGCTGAACGAGTTCCCTGCATATCATCTTGGTTCGCTCATTGTTAATTCCCTCGGGAACCTGCGATTGTTAACTTTGAAATGTCCCTGTTCATTTCTGCTCGTTCTCGTACTCGCATTTCCCGTAGAGTAAGAGTTGAGCCACTCGCGATGAATCCAAGATGCCTTCTACTTCTTCCTCCGACAGAATCCGCTGACGACAGCGTGGCTGCGCATTACTCGGCCCTTGATCAAGAGAACGACGAATCTAGGAGTAGGCTGTTTGTTATTTGACGTTGTTCAAAGTTGCCACCAGCCGCAATTCATCAACGTTGACGAATGCGCCCAAAACAGGGTCACGAATGTCTGATGAGACAACCTGTCGAACTTTAGTATCACAGACATGGTTTCTGTCGTACGCTTATGTTCCAGCTGTTCATTGCGCTCAGACCAATTGTGATCCCTTCGTTTCGGACGTTGCAACGCCGAAGTGCATGCCTCTAAGGTTCATTCACAACTCTCATCTAGCCAACGGGCAGCGCGCTCACCTCCCCAGACTAACGCACCGAACGTTGGCATGCGGCCAGTGAGAACACACTTAAGGTCAGAGGATTGGCTCTGAGCGGCTGGCGAATGGCGCAGAGTTTTGTAACCTTCTGGACTTTCTTTGCAAACTTTTAGACTTTCTTTGCAAAATTTTGCACATTCTTTACAAATTGTTGAACCTTTTATGCAAGTTTGCGGGAAATGCTATAGTGCTTACTGCCTGGCAAACGATTTCCTATGATATTGACCACTACGCATTCGCGTGAAAATATTCGATCCTACAGTTAATTAAATATCGCGTTTGGAGCGAACTATACTGCTGAATTTTCAAGCAGTTTCATTCGTTTTCCGTGTCTATAACATTGTGCTTCTCTTTTAAAAGCAAGTGCAATCTTTTATTTTGCTATCAAGTAGGTTGTGCACCAACTAAGCAGCTCGCTTTCCTGCATGTGCAATAAGGCTGTAAGCATTTCGAAGCATGCTCAAAAGAAACACCACATCACTTTGGTTTTCGCTGACATGGATCATTTCGGAAGCACGCAAGGACTGATGGCCAGTTAAAGCACTGGGCGACATAAAACGATGTACCATTTGTCAGCAATGAATTGATGGATGAGCAAGAAATTTCTTTTTAGTAATGCTTCGCATTTAAATAATTGGAACAGATATCTGTTTCAGGTCACCGTACCGCAAAATGTAGTCGAAAAACCATAGCCCTTCCTACGCTGTGGTAATATATTTTGTTTACTTTGCTGTTACTATTAATCTATCGCCCGCTGTTTCATATTACTATTTGTTTCGTTGTTGACTACGACTGGACCGACAACCAGATGTGACGGAGTGAAGTTTTCAAGCTATTAAGAGCAACCAAGCAAGGCATATTGTTAAAGACTCACCGGTTAGCAGGAAAAATGCTTGACCCAGAAAATCCAGTTGATGGCAAAGACTAGAAGATTTGAGTATCCATAAAATATCTACATAAAAGTAACCCCAAAGATGAGTTAAATATGTGATGGTTTATCTGCTTTAAATTCAAACCGTCACTGCCAGATTGGGCTTAGAAGTGAAGGTGAAATCTCTCGAGTGAATATCCCGCGTGGAAGCAGGAAACCTGGATGGCGTTCAAATGATGAAATTATAACCCCGGACACTTCGACTTCTATCCATTTATTATTGGTGGCAATCCACGTCATTCTAAAATATGCAACTTATAAATTACCCCAAGGATCATTTGGTAATCTCTTGAAATTCTCAAAAATTAACCTGTTCCATGTTGTCCCCCTGTATTTACCATCAAAAGTATCAGTTTGACTGCGCTTTGCACTAGAAAGAAATCTGTAACTATGCAATTTATTTTTAGTGTCTTGTAAGCAGTCATCACTGTAAATCTGAGTTACAGGGTTTTGTAACATGATTCAAAATGACTTAGCTGTAAAGACTAATTACCCTGAATTAATTAATTAAATCTTTTAATCTACAGTATTTTAGCTTATCTTGATTTGCCGGAAAGGTCACCAATATATGGTTGATAGCCTTGTGCACAAGATTTTACAGACAGTTAAACCCAGGCAGTGTTGGAAACCATGGGTTGAGCAGTAGCCTTTTAACTACATTTGGGTTACGACGGTAACTAATAGGATGATCACGGGATTAGGATTCCAAATCAATTAAGCTGTAAATCCGGTGAACGCTAAAAGAGCCCACTGGTGGAAGACAGCCTTTGTAATATTTGCTGAACCTAATCAGTTTCCAGTTACTTGTTTAGCTATTAATGGACGTAGGGGGTTTAATTGAAAATGAAAAATATACGGAGGTACGATGTAATTTAAGTGCAACTCCCAGATTGATAAGACATCAACAAACTCCGCGCATGCCACATCTGCAATAACTTATCACTAAACAGCAGCAGATAGTGGCAGTCGTTTCATCGTTACCATTTTTTGCATGTGCAGAAGTAAGCAAACAGTACAAAATTATGCCTTTATCATAGTGATGTATTTGAGGTTTTCAGGCGTTTCATGAATGCCCAAAAGATCTCCAATAAAGAATGCGGAGAACGAAGTAAATTCCATGGTTATCAAGCTGTCGCAATTACATTAACTTATGAAAGACGTGAGGGTTTAAACAACTTACATTTACACATTTTTCGCCAAATCCGCACGCTTTCATGCATCTTTTCACCTCTTTCCGATTGAGAGATCCACTTCCATCTTTATCCATTTCTCTAAATTTCGCCAACAGACGTCTCTCTTCTTCTTTCTCCATTAAACAGCTATTCCGAGTTCAGTCTTCAAGCATGCAATTCCCAACGTTAAAAACAACCATTCGCAAATGTAACAACGACGGTAAGATATTTGCCCATCTATGTGCCCAACGTGTTTTTCTGCTACAAGGTCAATCGATGTTTATTAAAGTGTTATTCTGATTGGTGCACGAACACAGCCTGCCAATCTTGCGAATCCCATCGAAGGTAACAGCTAACACAAAGTGAATGTGTGCAAATTGCGACCGTAGAGCAAAGCGTGATCGAACAGAGCCATATTTTACAGGAACGCATTAATCTTTAATGTGAAAACAGAAGGTAAGCGACGTTCGGCACGCAGCCGTGAAGTGTTGTAATAGAAACCTGTGAAAACTTGGAATAAAGAAGCATTAATAATGATGGATACTTTTAGTTGGAAAGGATGGAAGGTAACGGAAGAGGCCGGAGCTAACGATACGTATATAATCGAGTTTGTGAATAAGCAATACGTTGACCTGAAAGCAAATTTTGAGGCGTAACATACTAGGCAATAGAACCCGGCAAGTTGTGCACACGGGTCACAATCGCCAAAACTGCTTTGCCAAGCAACTAGGATAAGACACGCAGATGTTTCTGGAATAAGAATTCCGGTTCACATCAGTGGGGGTGAATTGGCTTAGACATCACTAGACTGCATCATTAGAACAAATCCGAACTTATGCACTTTGGCCATAATAGTTGAAGTTACAGACGGCAACTGTCACTGATAAAATGAAGTTTCTTGATTGAAAGGTGCTCTCTCAGACTGCGTGATATAGCTATTTATACTTCTAATGTTTACACGAGTAGTGTTTGCCTTGCATACAACTAGTTTACAATGTTTCAAACTGGGTGACACTCACCAGATATAACATCCAGGAGCATTGTGAACCCGATGTGAATCTCGCACATTTTAGCGGGTTTAATAGGTCAGGTGTGACACACGCAACAAACGAGTTTCAGGTGGCATCAGCTACTTAGGTGATTACTTTATTCAAAACAATTTGGATGCCTCCTTTATTAAGCACTCTTTTGTTAGATTCCACGCTGGAGTCTAGAGTTTTACCAACAAGTGCTCAGTCTCTAATTGAATAAAGTTCAACTTGGATGTAGCTCATGAAAGACAGTTTGATGAAGGATGGTATGGCAATAAAAAGTGACACCGAAGCAGTTGGATCAACATACAATTGATGTAAATTTTGGGTATGGAGTGAAATATTAGTCCTAACTCTCCTGCCGCAAACATTTTGGCTTATCCTTAAGTCCGAGATCGATATTCTTTACGCTATTAACTGATGCCATGATGAGGAATTTAACCTTGCGTTTGACATGATAATCAACCCCAATGAGATGCTGACCTTAAATAGAAAGGTTGGTTCAATCGCTCATTTTTATCTTCAGGCGGAACCTGCGTGAGATCACCATGTGTTTTAAGAAAACAGCCGACTACATAGACTTAGACGCACTAGTTTTAAATAGGAATGTAGATATTCTATCGCGTCGGACTTAAATTTACTTTGAAGTAAACCCTAGAGTAAATTATCATCAAATCAACGAAAAAACGCTTTGTGTACGAAACAATAATTCCCATGCCATCCATCAGCTGGCATACGTAAAGGGTCAATCGCGCCTAGACACCATGGATCAAGGTGAAGTTCAGTCAAACTTCCTTAAAAACTAAAATGTACGTGCTCAGTGATTAAAAACACTAAACCTTTCAGTTTATTACCTCTGGTTTACCTACTTGATTTGACGTTCAACAAACATGCATAAACCAAACGGCAGCGTTCGGTAGGGGAATAAATCAATGAACATCCGAGTTCGGGTGTTCAGACAAGTTAAGATATAACCACGTTTGAGTGAATCAAACCCAGAAAAAATGCTAACACTGGAACAAAGTAATAATTAACCTCACGTTATAGTCAGTTCTGCATTGTAAAATGTTAGCAAAAATCACACTACCAATGTAAAGGGGACTTCCCATCATGTTGGAGGATTATCGAGCTCAAGATGAATATATGGATCAAGCTTTTATAGAAATGAAAATGATTCACTGGCACGCGGTGCTGACAGCGGTATCCGGTTCATTCAAAATGTACGTATCAATGTTTGCATTACGTAGATTTTCATATATATGAATAACATGCAGCAGGAACAAATCGTAGCGGTCTGTGGTTTGCTTCGACCTGTGTTAAATCCGTACTTTTTACTCAGATCCAATAGTATTCCTGTTGCGTCAAAGATGTCAAGTCAAATAAGTGGCAGTCTCACCAACGCATAACTGGTTAGCTAAGAAGAAACTTGTGTATTGTGTTATTATTATTTATAATAATCATTATACGAGTTATAATCGTTAAAAACAACCTCGGTTAATCAACAATAGTTTAATATTCTGTTGGTCAGCTCAAAAGACCAACGGTGACAAGGAAATCTGAAACAAACGTCCATGAAGGAGCTATTTTACTGGCACCGATATATTTGAGATCACTGACTAAGTTTCCGGCTCAAATCTTGAATTATATGTATCGGTTCTAGTAAAGACTATTTGTTTATGGTATGGACAAAGACATTGCGGACTGAGCACGTTGATTTTGGCAATGATTTCCTTTCTTACCTGCTCGCATTAACGCGACTTACACACTACTACTTTTGCCTGCGGTTGATAAGTGGTTGTAGCTTGCTTTCGGCTTTGTCAGCTGTTTCGCACTAAACGCTTGTAAATAGTGCACAATCAAATTTTATTCAAAATATTAGACAACTCGTTAATCAGGTGATATACAGTGCCAAATTTATTAAGCTTACTAGAAACAAAGGCATGCTGGATCGTTAGAAACCACAGAGACTGCGGTCGAAAAGATGCGGTAAGCTCGTTTGCTGCAGGTCACGAAAAATCAGAAAACATTTCGATACTCCCTATTAAATTCGCGCAGTATGCTCTAATACAAATGCGTCCGCACCTTAAAGAAACTGAATAAATTTACTGTGATAACGTCAGTAACATTTTAATATGATATGACCGAGGGAAAAGATTTCAGCTTCAGATATCACCCTGGATAAACTTATTGCACAACATAAAAGAACAGAGCTGCCAAAGTGTTTGACAATTAATTGTGTCCGTTTTTTCGAATTTCCGAATAGGTAAGTTTCTGCAGGTGCCAAAAAGGTGCGCGTCCGATTTCCCTTGTCTTTAATCCTAGAAGCAATCTTTTGTAAGATAAGCAAATTCTTTTAATTGGTTGTCATTTCTGTTTGTGAAGTCCAAGAGAAATACCATGGAGGTTTACATAAATATCCCTTTTACGACCTGTTCACTGGCCCGACTATTATTATGGCAATTGCAACCGGTATTTCAAGATTATGAGGCCATTCTTGAGGGAAGTAACTCGGATTCTGCAGAGGAGTTCGAGTCTGTGGAAATTGAGAATAACTGTATCACTTTTGTTAGCTTGGTCATGTTAGTCTTTGTTTTACTTACCAAGTGGCTTTGATGTAGGTAATTGAACGCTCATCATAAATTGGCATTGGAAAATTGGTGGCGCTTAATCGCTTTCAGTCTGTAAGTCTTGACGATCAGTCTCCATTTTATGTGACAGCGGTGTAGGGTGCTGGCTGTCAACGCGAGCTGCTATTGTTCACGGGTTTTCTCTACTCTGGAACCTTGTGTTCTGCACGATTGCTGGTACCCAGTAGAGATAGAGGACTTATTACTACCTTTCCCGATCTGTTGTTAGTTATCGCACCCGGAAGCTGCTGAGACGAGAAAAAGTTTGAATAAATAAAATCGTACTCATGACTAATGTCATTTGCTCTTTGTGTAACGGGATTTTGATGATCGTAATTGAAGCCTAATCATTGTTGAGCACGTTATACAAAAAGCGAGTACTTTTTGCTAAGTTAACAACCATGCGGTGGGTTATCTTTTTCCATTAACTCTAACAATGAACATGGGAAAAAGAGCAAGTGCTCGACAAATACTGTAGGAAGGTGGGGGCTAAATTCTAAAACAAAAACCATGCGAGCTAAAGGCGCTACTGAATGACGACAGAGCACAATGAGAATTGAATGCTTGCACATAAAACAACATGAGGAGCAGTTTTAGTGTTACTGTATTAGAAGGTAATGTTAAAAATAATAACCTGTTTGGGTCCATGCACTCGATGAATCGTGTATGAGTGCACTATACTGGTTTTGACATTTTACAGCTTACGGAACGAGGTGCTGGGATCAAAGGACAATATCCAGCAGTGTATTGGAAAGATAAATTCAAAGCAGTATTCTAGTGAATATGGGTGAGATCGCAAGTTTGACGAATACCACGAGAGAAGTAATTCGTCAGCACACCAAACAGCTTCTTCTTGTACTCTGCTTCATGCAGTTAAATGTACAAATTGTGGTTTGAATGATTACCAACCAGTAGGCAGCTTGCCTGAATAGGGTCACCCAGTCTTTGGTAAACCAATAAGCAATTTCGGAGTAGCCTTCCGCAGCGTCAGCTGAAACTGTAGTAGCTTTAGTATTACTGGTAGAGCGAGTGTCTAAGCCCTTGACATTCATCTTTTACATGCGTATTGGTGTCTCCAGCATCTATGGGTGCTTTAACCAAACTTTCTAAGCGCCAGTAGAGTATGCAGAGTTGGTGGACAAAAATCCCAGAATACCCTTCGCAATGGGACGATTTTCTGGCTGCCCCTTTGCATTGCTGCTTAAGGCTGTTTGGAAAACTGAAGCAACATTTTCAGCACACCAAACTTGCTTTCCTGAGAATTGCTTGTAATCCATATGCCTCCAACCCTATAAATGTAATCACGCATATAGCACAGTTAAAAAACCTTAATATTTTATACACAGATTATAAGGATATTCTGAACTTGCCACTTCAAATTCGCGTCAGAATCTCGATGAAGCTCTTGTGAATAGATGAGTTGCTACACTTACAAATGTTATCCAAATATGAAAATACCATGAGTTGTGGTGGAGATATTGCACACGCAAAGTATCATACACATGTGCAGTAGATAAAGCAAGTTCTCTAGTTGCCTCTTTACTAAAACTGAAGTTCATTCTGAGGA